GTAGAAAAGGAAGATACACTGAAAATTGGCTTGTGATCAGAAAATCAAACCCCCTGGGGCTTGTTTAAAGTTGGAGGGGGGGTAAATAAGAATAGGTCAAACCCCGTAATCATTTTTTTTTTTGCTTTTTTTTCATAATTAATTTTCGGCCTGGTCGAGATAATTTCTGTCTTTTTTCACTTGAAAGGAATGTCTCTGCGCTCTCTCATTTTGACCTGCTCTTTTGATTTTTCTCTGACATAAGGGAAAAACAATAATTTCCTCAAAGTAGAGCTCTTCAGAACTCCAGAGTGGTTTCGCTCTAGGGACCACTTTACCTCCTCCTGAAGGGGCCACTGAAGCTTGCAAAAGTGGTCCCTATAGGGGTCATTTTAGAAAACTCACTGACATCGCGTATTTGAATGGAAAATGTAAGAAACCCTATAAGGACCACTTGAATACTACCCCTATAGGGGGCACTTTTCTGTCCCCAGGGAGGGCTGTTCTTTCCTTAAACCCTTCAGGGAGCACTTGAGCTTTCGGGGCTTCATGGTCAGACCTTGAACCCTATAGAGGGTACTTTTCTGTCCCCAGGGAGGGCTGCTTTTTCCTTAACCCCTATAGGGACCACTTGAGCTCTAGGGGCTAATGGTAAGACCTTGAAACCCCTATAGGATCCACTTAAATTTCACCCCTATAGGGGGCACTTTTTGTCCCCAGGGAAGGCTGCTTTTTTCTTAGCCTCTTTAGGGACCACTTGAGCTCTTCGGGCTAATGGTCAGACCTTGAACCCCTATAGGATCCACTTGGGTTTTACCCCTATAGGGGGCACTTTTTTGTCCGCAAGGAGGCTGTTTTTCCCTAAACCCTATAGGGACCACTCTGGCGTTTTTTTCAGAAAAAAGCAGAAAATGAAGAAAAGCAACAAACAAAATGTCGTCACCACCGCACACTCGCCGGAATGTTTAATGACCCCCTAGCCGAGCACTTTTTCAATTGAATTCCATTCGACCTGAAAGTCCCCCCGTTCTAATTGCTCCACTATTCCCAGTTCATCATCTTTTCTGGAAAAACGCGAACGTTTGCTCTGAGTCCCCCAGAGACTTCACGTTTCCCGATCAACAACCTAGGTTTGAAGTGTTTTTGAAGCCCTAAGTTTAGATTGAAGCTTGAGTTGATGCTCAGTGAATTTGTGGATACGGAGCCCGAAAAAATCCTAGTTATCCTAACTTTACTGTTACAAGTATTCTATACCTTTTTAACATATTTTTTTCGAATTTTTCATAAGTTGATACTCAGCCAATTTGTTGATACGGAGCCTGAAACAAATCCTAGTTTGCCTGACTTTACTGTTACAAATCTTCTATACGTTTTTATAACATTTTTTTTCGAATTTGTGATAAGTTGATGCTCAGCGAATTTGTGGATACGGAGCCTGAAAAAAATCCTAGTTAACCTAACATTACTGTTGCAAGTCTTCTATAGCTTTTTATAACATATTCTTCTTTCTCATCAGTTGATGCTCAGCCAAATTGTTGATTGTTGATACGGAGTTTGAAGTGAGGTTATTCTCAATAGAGCCAAAAATATCTATTTTTCCATTTTTTTTGCGTTATAGTGTTTCATAAGTTCATATAAAATGCTTTTCCTCCAATTTCTCATAAGCTGATGCTCAGCGAAATTGTAGATGCGGAGCTCGAAAAAAAAAATCCCGGATATCCCAACTTTACTGTTACAAGTCTTCTATGCCCTTTTATAACATGATTTCCTTCAAAACTCTTCAAGTTGATGCTCAGCGAATTTGTGGATACGGAGCTTCAAAAAAATCCCAGTTGTCCTAACTTTGCTGTTACAAGTCTTCTATACCCTTTTGTAACATATTTTTTTTTGAATTAGTCATACGTTGGTGCTCGGCGAAATCATTGATACGGAGTTTCACTGAAATCCGACCTACTTCAAATATTTCTCCAAAACACGAACATTTCAGATATCCTCCATTTTTTATGAGTCCCAAGAGACTCTAATTTTTGATCTATGGCCTGATTTTGAATGCTTTCGACCAAAGGGAGGACATAAATTAATTTTTTCCGCGTATTTCAAGTCGATGCTCAGCGAATTCGTGGATACGGAGTTCTAAAAATTGTAGAGGAAAATCAAAAAATCGCATTTGGAATGTCTTTCGACCATTAAAAGGGCATAAATTCAAAATTTTGAGTTGATGCTCAGCGAATTTTTTTTGATACGTAGTGAGGAAAAAAATTTTTTACAATGGTAAAAAGGTCAACATTTTGCTTTTTTTTATTTTTACGGCCTCTGAGATTTTTTCTGTTTAGTTGATTTTCAGCCAAATTTTTGAGATGTGGGAAAATTTTTAGTGGCCGCTTTAGGGTTATGACGTTTCAGTGGCCACTGTAGTAGTCGAATTAGTGGCCACTTTAGGGGCTAAAAAGGAGAGGTTCCTTTAGAAGCCTACTAGACCACTAAAGCCACTATATTGGCCACCAAGACGTAAAATAGTGGCTTCTGAAGAGGTGAGTTTAGTGGCCACTTTAGTGTCCTTTCCATATAGTCCTTGAGGGACTTCTTAAGTGCTCCTCAGAATTTTTGTGTCCAGACTTTTACGTAATATTTCAACTTTCTTCCTATTTTTCAAGCTTTTTCCTTGTTCTTCTGAATTTTTCTACTCAAAAAAAACGGATCCAGACAATTTCTGTTATATTTTTCCATTTCCTCATAGCTTTCATAATGGTCGAATGAACGCAGTCAGACGTGTTTCCTGTCATTCATAATAGTCGTCCAAAAATCAAAAACATATAAGTGTTCAAAATGGCTGTCTGTTCCTTTTTTGGAAGGCTTTTTTTTCCTTTTTTTTTCTCTTGTTGCTATGATTTTCATGAGGATGAATTTGAAGCCCTGGGATTTTTGGCATTTTCGAGGGAATTTTGTCATTTTTCAATCCCTTTTCGGTACTCTGAACGCGTAAAATCATAAAAAACCGCTTCTTGAGGTGCGCCGGACCTGAAACGGTTTGCGCTTCGAACCATCAAGTAGCTTAAAAATGAAATATTAGAGATTAAGGAAACGCTTTGAGCCATTCCAAATGCGTTTTTCACCTTTTTCGGAGGATTTTCTTTCATTTTTCAATCTTCTATCAGTGCCTTTTAGCATGCTGAACACATAAAATCTGAAAAAACGCTTCTTGAGGTGCGCCGGACCCGAAACGGTTTGCGCTTTGAATCATCAAAAATCCAAAAAATGAAATATTAGAGTTTGAGAACCGGTCCCAACCTCAACGCGACCGTGACGCGTCGAGCCATCCCAAATGCGGTCTTTAGCTTTTTCAGAGGATTTTTTCCATTTTTCAATTTTTCACCAGCGCTTTTTAAGACGTGTAACTGTTTCAAAACGGCTTTTTGAGGTGCGCCGGACCCGAAACGGCTTGCGCTTTGAATTATCAAGCTTAAAAATTGAATATTCGAGATTCGAACCGCAACGCGACCGCGACGCGTCGAACCATTCCAAAACCAGAAAAAAAAATTAGAAAATCGGCATGATTTCCCTGTGAAACAAGGTCCATTGTCGTCCGAAAAAATTTATATTGTCATTTTTTTTTTTGAAACCTGAGATTAGTTTTTGATCCAACAGGTCCAGGGTTCAATCCCTCTTGGTTTTTTGCCATTTTTATCTAATATTTTCATCAACAAACGGAATTAGAAAGCGTCCAAGGCGTTCCAAAAGTTGGTTTTCCGTATTAATCATGGATTTTTGTTATCTCGGGGTCGCATTTGGAATGGCTCAAAGCGTCGTTTTTGATTGGGAGAGATATTCAGCACTTCAAAGCTTCCTGATGTCATCAAGCGAAAGTAGCTTTTGGTCGGGGGCGACTTGAAACAGTTGAGCCATTCCAAGTGCGACCAGAAATTCCAGGATTACGAAAAATTGAATATTGTATATCATTTTACAGTTTCAAGTTACATTTTTCAATCAATTTTCTCAATTTTTATCCGTTCGATACAACGTTCGATATTTATTTTTTTTTTGATTGAATTTTTTTATTTTTTTCGAAATTCGAAGGCCAAATGTGACTTTTTCTGTTTCATTTAAAACCCCCACCCAGAAAAAGCCGGAAATCCGTTGTTCCAGCACGCTAACTCGGACAAAAAAAGCGAGTTTTTTTCAACTTTCAATGTTTATTTTTTTGGCCTGGATTTTTTTGAACTAGGATTTTTTTGAGCTGAAAAATTCTTTTGGCTTCTTATAGGAATTTTATTATTAATTTTTTTCTCTATTCCGGCGAAAAAAATCTAATTTATTGCATTACGCTTTTTTTGAGCAAAAAATTGGAAATAGAAAAAAAGAAATATCAAAAAAAGTATTACAAAAATCAGACGAAAAAAAGTAAAAAAAGTGGTTTTTAAAAAAATATTCTGATTACTTTACTGTTTCAGTTGGAAAAATAGGATTTTTTTCAAAAAAATCAATTATTATTTAATTTTATAAATGTGTTTAACTAACTTTCCGGTTTCAAAAGTTATTTTTCCAAGGAAAGCTCAATTTTAAAAAAATACTAAATAAGTTTTTTTCTGAAAAAAACCCAAATTTCCGAGATTTTTTTGATTTTTTTACATTTTGATATCCCGCGAGTAGATACTTACTGTTATAAAAAAAGCGAAAAAAATTTTCAAAAGTCAGAAAAAAATTGCATTTTTGGACCTACTTATTAAAAAAAGGCTTGAATTTGACCTTTTTAAAAATTTTTCTTTATTTTTTTCTCCAATAATTTTTTTATATTTCGAAAAAAATTCATTTTCATGAAAAAAATTATCTTTTTCAAATTTTTTTCCTCTAAAAAAATGTTTTTTTCGTGTCCCTCGTACTCTTATTCATTGAAATTCGTTTCTCCCCTCTTTAAAAAGAAAAAAAAAGAAAAAGAAGTTGCAGCCGACCACCCCCACTGACAAGCCACGCCCCCACGGTGCTCCTTGGCCACGCCCACTTTTCCGTGCGCCGCCCTCCGCCCGATGTCCGAGGCGAAGCCGCTGCTCCAGCGCTGGTTCTTCAACGCCAGCGCCTTGGGCCACGCTTCCAATGATTACGGTTTCAGAATTATCATTTATTGTCGAGTTTTCAAGATTCTTGTTGTTTTTGAGTGTATAATTAGTGATTTTGAAGTCAGTTTCGTAGAATTTTTGGCGGTTTTTTGACCAAATTTACTGTTTCAAGTTACGATTTTGATCAATTTCGGTTCCGAATTCACTTTTTTAAGGTTAATTTGATAGGATTTATCGTTTTTTCATGCAGAAATCGGTCTCAAAATTATCATTTATGTCGATTTTTCAAGATTTTGGTCGTTTTCGAGTGTATAATTAGTGATTTTGAAGTCATTTTCGTAGAATTTTTGGCGGTTTTTTGACAAAATTCATTGTTTTTAAGTTCCTTTAGAAGGCTTTTATCAATTTCGGCACCGAAATCACTTTTTTAAGTTGATTTTAAAGGGGTTTATTGTCGAAATGATCATTTTTATCGGATTTTCAAGATTTTAGTCGTTTTCAAGCGTTGAATTCTTTCATTTTTCGACGATTTTGAGGCCAAATTCACTGTTTTAAGTTGCTTTGGAAGGCTTACATCATTTTTGGTCTCGAATTTATTTTTTTAGGTTGATTTTTAAGAAGTTTATCGTTTTTTCATGCAAAAATCGGCCTCAAAATTGCCAATTTTGTCGATTTTTCAAGATTTTGGTCGTTCTTGAGTGTTGAATAAGAGGTTTTGAACACATTTTAGTCCATTTTTAGCGGATTTTGGGATCAAATTAACTGTTCTAAGTCGATTTTGAGAGCTTCGATCGTTCGTCTTCTTCTTCGTTTCAAATTAATCAATTTTATCAAATTTTCAAGCCTTTAGTTGCTTTACCTGTGTAGAAACCTTTGTTTGAAAAATATTCCTGAAAGTTTTTTTGAAAAAGTTTTGAATATTTTTTTCATTAAAAAGGGTTTTTAAGCATTCTAGACCGTCCTTTCGATGATTACGGTTTCAAGAATACATTTTAGATCCAATTATTAAAATTTTGGTCGTTTTTAAGTGTTGAATACTTGGTTTTGACTTCATTTTCGTACACTTTTTGCCGATTTTGAGGCAAAATTTACAGTTTTAAGCCAATTTTTAAGGCTTTTATGGTTTTCTTTTTTCAAAATATTGGTTTCAAAAATCTTCATTTTTTTCTGATTTTTCGAGGTTTTATCCGTTTTCTTTCGTTTTTTTCCGAAAAAAATATATATAATTTGAATTTTTGATGCTTTTTTTGTACGTAAAATATGGTCTTCAAGTTGATAATTTATTCGAGTTTTGAAGATTTTTGTCTTTTTTCTACCGATATAAAAATTTTTTTCGCATTTTTTTCTGAATTTTCTATTGGAATCGTGATTCTAAAAAAACTTCGAGAAATCAAATTTTGTTTCGAAAAAAATTACGAGGCTTTTTTTGCGCTATTTTTTTCTGTTTCAGTTCAAGTTTTTTTGAATTGTTTTTCAAAAAATTTTTTTTTTCGAATATGAGTTTTCTGAAATTTCATTGATTTTTTTGAAGCAATTTTTGATCATGAGTTCCATTTTTTTGAATGTTTATTAGTTGAAATTGGAGACCGACTCAAAAAAACTAAACTTTCCGAGTTTTTTTCTTTCCACTGATTCCGGTTTCAATCGTGCGTCAAGTTTCAATTCCAGAATAGTTTTTTTATTAATCAATTCATCACCATTAAGCGATTAATGTTATTTTTTTGATTATTTTTTTTATTTTTTTTATTGTCAGAGTTTTTTTATAATTTCCAGATTTGATATCTTTTCGGCACGTCTATACACATTTTTTTCCCGTTTCAAAGTTGCTTTTTAAAGAATTTTTTTGAAAAAAATTGTTTCCCTTTTTATTTTTTTGACGTGGCTCATTAGTCTAATGACATTAGGGATCCAAAAATATTTATTTTGGTTCTTAAAAATTTTTAATTTTTGGTTAATATGTAGAATATTTGTGAATCAGGCCTAAAACGGAATTTTCGAGATTTATTGATTTTTGAAAAATTTTGGAAACTCTTCCAAGGTTTATTTCTTCTCAACTTATATTTTTTATTCTCCTCGGAGTTTTTCTGAATTTTCGAAGCTTCTGAAAAACGCTCTTAAAAAAATTCTTAAAAAAAGTGTTTTTTTGTAATTTTTTTGAAGTTTTTTTGCCGTTTTTTTTTTAAATTTTCTATTATTCTTCAAAGCAAGTTTTTCTTCTTTCATTTGAATTTCGAAGGCTTCTTTTCGTAAATCTCGATTATTAAAATCAAAAAAGGCCATTTTCGGGTCTTTTTCGGGATATTTTAGGGAGTTTTTTTAGTAAATTCAAAACAGGCCATTCTCGGGTCGTTTTTGGGACAAATCAGGGAGATTTCAAGGAGTTCAAAATAAGGAAAATTTCGAGTTATAGTTGGGGAAAAAAATCAGAACGTATTTATTTTTTCTTCTTCCAAAAGTTGGAAAAAATAATCTTGAGATCCTTTTTCTTGGGATCAAACTATAGACATTTTTCGCTTTTTTCCCGTCTTTTTATACCTCCTCGAGTGCATTTCAATACGTTTTCCCATGAATAACTCACTTCAATTTGTCGGAGACATTTTTCGAATTTTTTATGACTTTTCATTATGATGGCTTTTATTCGAAAAAGGGCTTTTTTAGGCGATTTTAGGGAGATTTTTGATTTTTTTACGACATGACTGAGAAAAACTCTTGTGGCCACTTCAGAGGTTTCTCAAGGGATATTAGGAGAGGACACTAAAGTGGCCACTGAAACTAGCTCTATAGAAGTCACTTTTTTGCTTAGGGGCCACTATAGTGGCAGAGTAGTATCCAATAGACTTCTGAAGAGGTCACTAATTTTAGCCACTTAAGTGGCCACTAATTTGACAGCTTTAGTGAACAATAAAACGTCAAAACCTTAAAGTGGTCACTAAAAATTTTGATTTTTCTACAACCGGACTGAGAAAAACTCTGATGGCCACTTAAGAGGTCCCTGAAGGATTACTTGGAGAGGACATTAAAGTGGCCACCTAAATCAGCACTATAGAAGTCACTATTTTACGTTTTAGTGGCCACTATAGTGGTTTTAGTGATTCTTAAAGAGGCCCCTACATCCAGCCACTTAAGGGGCCACTAAATCGACAGCTATAGTGGTCAATAAAACCTCAAAACCCTAAAGTGGTCACTAAGAATTTTCCCAGTGAAGGCTTCTTTTCGTCAGTTTTGATTATTGAGCTCAAAAAAAGGCGATTTTCGGGAGATGTCGAAAGGATTTTTCCGGAAAATGTAGACGATTTCTGACTCTCTACGAGCGTCATAGCTCTGAATAGAAAAAAAGAAAGGGAACGTTCGAAGAAATATGAAAAGCCTTCATTAACGTAATTATACGGGGCGAGCACTTGTTTGTCTGCCCCTCTTCGACATTTTTATCAAATGACACGTTTTTTTGAGAAATTACATGTTAGATTGATAGGGAAAAAAATGTCTCAAGCTGATGATTTTCATAGGTTTTTTTCGGCAAAATTGTTCAATAGAAAAAAATATTTTTTTCCATTTTTTTAATGATTTCTAGCTGGATTTTTTTAGCGGATAAAATCGTATTTTTTTGAATTTTCTTTTTAAAAAAACTTGTGAAGCTTTCTAGACCGGATTCTGAAGCTTAGAAAAAAAGAAAAATTAAATTTTTGAGATTGAAATGTTATAAGATTTTTGAGGATATTATCAGAGGAATCTCTTGTAAATCTTCCGAAAATGGTTTCTCTGAAAAGTCTGTTTTTTTTTTCATGTGATCTCGCTTTTCTTTAAAAAAATTTTTTTTGACGACATCGCAAAAGTCCCGCGCCTCGCTTTTTGAAAGCTTTCCAAATTTTTTTTTGACTGCGGGAGAAAGGCGATGTCGCGTATACACGTATACACATACCGCCTTCCACACAAAAGCTCGATTTCCGCGATGAAAGTGGTACATTGACGACATCGCAAAAGTCCCTCGGCTTGCATTTTTCTAGGCGCAATCACGAATTTTCGGAATAATACAACTTTTGTTAAGACTGCGGGAGAATCGCGATGTCGCGATGTCACGTATACACGTATATACACAATGCCTCTCACGCAAAGCCTGATTTCCGAGATGAATGCGGTACATTGACGACATCGCAAGAGTCCCGCGTTGCATTTTTTTCGGCGCAGTCACGAATTTTCGAAATATTCTAATTTTCTGCGGGAGAAATGCGATGTCGCGTATACAAGCTTACACATATTGTCTTTCACACGGTACATAAACGACATCGCAAAAGTCCCGCGCCTCGCATTTTGAAACCTTCCAATTTTTTTTTTCGACTGCGGGAGAAATGCGATATCGCGCGCGGTGACGTCAATGTGCCGCAACAACCTATACAAGACGAATATGCAAAATTTTCAGCGTCATCGTCGTCGCTGCTGTTCGGCGGCAACCAGACGTCGTTGCTGTTCGACCTCTTCGGACAGGCGATGGAACGGCCGCCGGGCGACACCCGGACGTTGCTCCAGAACCTCTACTACTTCTACATGCCCTTCTGCGTCTTCGTCGGCCTCACAGGGAATACCATGGTCTGGATCCTTATTAGGTACGTTTTTTCCTTCTCTCTTCAAAAAAAAAAGTTGGGAAATATCTTCTTTTTGACAATGGTCGCGCCGTGGGCGGGTCGACCTGGTTTTCCAGTTTTTGGGCAAAAAAAGGACTTTTTTTCAAACTTCGAGCTTGAAGGCTTCAAACATCTCATTGTCACTATTCCCATGTTTCATAACCCCTCTGTGAGAGAAAAGAGAGCGCAGACAGGTCAGACACAAATTAGGAAAGGCGAATCGCGGGTAACCCAATTAGACTAGCCTTTCTCCTTCTTTTTTTCCCTTTTTCCACTTGTTAATTTCATTTTCCTTGGCCTGAAATAGAACGGAGATGAAGCTTCCCGGTTCAAGTGTCCATTTTTTTGGGGGGATTTTTTTGAAATGTGGGTTAAACTGTTTTTTTGAATCTCTAGATCTGCATCTTCTTCAGTTCAAAGTTCTTCGAAATCGACCGCACTTGGAATGGCTCTGAAGGCTGCGAAACAGTTGCGCCCGACCAAATGCGACTTGCGCGCGAGAGCTCCGAAAAACGCTAGAATGAGCGTCCGCGACCCTTTGAGCCATTCCAAACGCGACCACGGTGTTTAAACGAGCTTTATACTTTATTTCAAAGCCATGGTCGCATTTGGAATAGCTCTGAGCGCTGCGAAGCAGATGCGCCCGAACAAATGCGACTTGCGCGCGAGAGCATAGAAAAGCGCTAGAATGAGCGTCCGCGACCCTTTGAGCCATTCCAAATACGACCACGGTGTTTAAACAAGCTTTATACTTTATTTCAAAGCCATGGTCGCATTTGGAATGACTCTTTTTTGCAAAATTTTTTGCTCTATCATTTCTCCAACGACCGTCATTTATATGCAGGACCGATGAACTCTTGAGGCAAAAAATTAGTTATTCCAAACATTTTTCCGCCAATTTTCATTTGAAATAGTTTCGAGAAAAAAAGCTGGCTCGAATTTTTTTTTTGAGTGTTTATTTTCGAAAAAAAAAGTCCAAATCCGATTTTTCCGTTTCAAACATCAAAAAGAAGCCCCGAAATTGTTTTTTCCTGACGTAAGTGAGCTTATTTAACTCGCGGGAAATCAAAAAATGCTCCCTCGCAACTTATTCAATTATCCGAGGCCCTTTCATTCTGAGAATCCATGAAAATCTTGTTTTTTTTCGAACAAAATCTTGGGAAAAAAGGCGCAAATCGCCGCTGGCCAAATTGCATTACGAGGCTTGTCGCTTCTTCCGTGTTTTATCGAATGAAAAAAGAAGAAAGACGGGAAAACACTGAGACCTTTAAAGGGAGCGAGGCGGTTTAGTTGAGGAAAGGTTGCTCTGTTGAACAGATTGAGGGATTAAAAAGAAAGAGACGGTTTCCCCGAGGAAAGTATGCTCTGTTGAAAATATTGAGATATTTGAAAATGACGAGATGGTTTCTTTGAGAAAATATTGCTCTGTTGATCGGACCGTTTTTAAAAAAAAGCCGTCTTTTTTGAGGAAAGTTCGCTCCGTCGAACATATGGAAAGATTTTGCAAGAGAAAATCCATTAACTATTCAAATGAACGCGAGCGAGGCGGTTTTAGTCGAGGAAAGGTTGCCCTGTTGAACAGATTGGGAGATTGATAAGAAGGAGGCGTTTTCTTTGGAGAAAGTTCGCTCCGTCGAACAAATGGCCGGATTTTGTAAAATTACAGCTATTTTCACTATAAATATTTTCAAATTCGCCCTACATCTATTACGTGAATTTTAGTACTTGTGTGTGAGAAATAAAACATTTTGATTGATTTTGATTGAAAAGGACTAGGCCTTTTTTTTTAGGAAAATTCGCTCCATCGAACAAATAGACCCCAAAAAAAACTATTTATTTTCAGTTTTTGAAGCATTTTTTCAAGTTTTTCATGACAAAATTTGCGTTTTTTTTTAACAAAAAACGCCTTTTTCTGGGTATATTCATCGGAAACCCTCCGAAAACTTTCGTTTGGAAGATTCGAAATCTAATTTCGAAGCCTCTCAAAAGACGTCAAAAATGGGATTTTGGTCCGCTATTCCTCGAGTGAACATGTCTGGAAACGACAGCCGACAAAGAAGTGAAAGATCAAAAATCATCTCTGAAGCAAGGCTGCATTTGAACTTTTGCCTTTTTAAATAGGTTTACCGATTCGAGGGAAATTTATTTGAAGCATAAATATATGATTTTCAGTATTCTTCCTTCGGCGACCCAAAAAAAAAACATTTTTTTTAAAAGGCTTCTGAAGCTTTGAACGACTCCAGTTTTTTTTTTCATTGGAGCAATCTTTCGAATTGAAAAACAGTTCCTTTTTTGATATTTCATTTAGTGCGAAAAAAAGTTGATCAGTTTATAACCTCTAAACCCCTATAGAGACCACCTAAATTTAACCCCTAAAGAATTCGATTTTCTCCTTAACCCCTAAAAGGACCACTTGAACCTTAGAGGGCCAGGAGGCAGATTCTAAACCCCTATAGGGACCGCTTGAGCTTGAGGGGCCACGGTTCAAAGCTTGAATCACTTTAGGGGCCACTTGAGCTTGAGGGACCACGAGTCAAAGCTTAAATCACTATAGGGGCCACTTGAGCCTACGAGGATTACGGGTCAGACCCTAAAACACTATAGAAACCACTTGAGCTTAGATGATTCACAAGTCAAAACATGAAACCCTATAGGGACCACTTGAGCTTGAGCGGATCACGGGGCAGACCTCTAAACCCCTATAGGTGCCCCTTGAGCTTAAAGGGACCACGGTTCAAAGCGTAAATCACTTTAGGGGCCACTCAAGCTTTAGGGGACCACCTGATAAAGCGTGAACCCCTATAGGGACCACTTGGTCTAAAGAGGATCACGGTTCAAAGCTTCAACCACTAGAGGGACTACTTGAGCTTAAAGGGGAGTATTTTAAGCTTTGACCCGTGGTCCCTTCAAGCTCAAGTGGTTCCTACAGTGGTCTGACTTTCTCCCTGACTCCCCTACAGGGACCACTTGGGCTTAAAGGGACCGTTTGTCAAAATGTAAACCCCTTTAGGGACCACTTGAGCTTAAGGGGACTACGAGTCAAATCATAAGACCCTATAGTGACCACTTGAGCTTGAGGGGGCCACGGTTCAAAGCTTAAACCCCTATAGGGACCACTTGAGCTTAAAGGGGAGTATTTTAAGCTTTGAACCCTGCTCCGCTTAAGCTCAAGTGGTCCCTAAAGTGGTGTGATTGTCCCTAACCTCTATAGGGATCACCTTAGTTTTCCGAATATTTTTGAATCAGGAACTTTTATTATTTCCTCATATGTGTGTGTATTTTCGCGTCCAGACCGGTCGAATTGACAAATGAGTTTCGCCCCGAAGGCTGAGCCGGCCCAGGAGGAATGTGATAGACGTTTGATGGATCGACGTCTTCTCCCGATGACGACCTTCTTTTTTCCCCCTTTTCTTTCCCCTTCCAACCGGAACAGAAGCTCCGCCAAATGGGTCTCCAACCACTCTTCTTCTCACTTTTTTTTTTCGAGCTCAATGGGGAAAAAAAGTCGGATCAAAAATCAGGAAATTCCTCGAGAAATCAAGAAATTTGAAGCTGAAAAGCTTTTTCTGGCTTGAAAGACTATTTTTAGCAGGATCAGGCTCGAAAAATCGATTTTTTTTTAGTCCCTAACTTCCAAAAAAAGAAATAACCTGATTTCCTGTTTCAAAAAGAAAAATTAAAATATATAAAAATTTTTCAGCGATTCAATTGAGTGTCAATAAATTTTAAAAAAATTAATAAAAAATTTTTTTTTCTTCGTAAATTTAAAAACCCAGGTTTTTTTTAAAAAAGACTCGATTTTTTTGGCCATTTTTGAGGCTTTTTCCTCTTTTTTTCCAGCTTCTTTTCTCCACAGACAAGAAATAAACCCCTTAAATGACCACTTAAACGAATCTCAAATCTTCAAGACGTCACAAATAAAAATAAATATGTTTTTTTGTTCAAAACTTCAATTTTGACTCGAAAAAAGCTTCGAAATGACCATAAAACTCGTAAAAAAATGCTATTTTCCACAACACCACGACGCCTTTTTACGGACCAAACATTTCAAAATTTTTTTCATCATTTTCAATTTTTTTCATACAAAAAGCAAAGTTTACCTTTTTTTATACAAAAAAATCGACTAAAAAAATCGAAAAAAATCGACCAAAAAAACTCGTAAAAAGGTTATTTTTTTCCCAACACCACGACGCCTTTTTACGGACCAAACATTTGAAAATATTTTTCTTTCCAAATTTGCATTTTTCGCGCACCGATTTGATTCGATTCGAAACCTAATTTCTGGTTTCTTCGAAGAAATTTTCATACATTTTCCAGAGTAATCATGTTTTCTGGCCGCATCTAAATTTACTGCCTTTCCCTTAATTAAACTCGGTTAAAATTACTCTTTTTTTTTGATCATTTAGTTCTTTCGAAAAAGCTCTCGTTTGATTGAGGCTTTTTGGTGGAAGAAGGGAAGTTGATTAGAATTTCGCTCTGAGAGAAGAGAAACTCCGGAAAAAAAGAGGCTTTTTGCAGGGAAAGGACCAATTTTGGTTGAAGTTTCAACCGGGGGGTTAATCATATTTACTTGGGTTTTGCAGTAATTAAAAGTAATTTTGAGGAGAAAGTCGGGAAAAATGTGTCGAGGATGAACTTTGGGCCGTTTTTGTGCGAAAAAAAAAATTGTCTTTTTATTAGAATTTTCAGTGTTTTAACACTTAAAAAGAAACGGAAGAGGATTTTTCAAAAAAATTAAAAAAATTAATCTTTCTCCATGAAGAATACAATTTATTTGAAAAGAAAAAAATTTTTCAATTTTTTTATCGAAAGTTCAAGCCTAAGGTCGCATTTGGAATGGCTAACGGTTGACTCAAGACCAGAACCGGCTTGCGCGTTCAAAAATTGGTGGAACCAGAAGCTAAAAATAAACCGCAACGCGACCGCGACGCTTCACATGATTCCGAAAGTTCCTCCAGATTAAAGAAGCGTCCGACCAAAAACGACTTACGCTTCAAGGCATCGTAAAGTGTTGAAACAAGAATCTAAAACAGACGCGCAACGCTTCGAATCATTCCGAAATTTTCTCGCATTCAAGATGCGTCCGACCACAGCCGACTTGTGCGTTGAGCCATCGGAAAATGTTGGAATAAAGAGCTGAAAAAACCGTGACGCGACCGCGACGCTTCAAATCATTACGAAACATCCTTGACGGCGCTCCCGAAAAACTTCCGCTTTGAGGCATCTTAAAATTTCGGAATCGAAAATTTTAAGGCGTCTTAAAATTTTGGCGTCAAATTTAAGGCGTCTTAAAATTTTGGAATCGAAAATTTTGAGGCGTCTCAAAATTTTGGAATCGAAAATTTTGAAATCGTAACGCAACAGTAACGCAACAGTAATGCAACAGTAACGCAAGAGTAACGAAACCGTAACGTAACAGGAACGCAACCGAAACGCGACAGTAACGCAAGAGTAACGCAACCGTAACGTAACAGGAACGCAACCGTAACGCAACCGAAACGCGACGTAACGCGACCGCAACCCGACCGTACCGCGTCCGCAACGCGACAGTAACGCAATCTCCGTAACCGTACTGTTATAGTCTGTGCAGATTTTGAATGTGAAGTCGTCGCTCATGCTCCGCCCCTAATGGTGCGATAAAGCGATTGCGTTACTGTCGCGTTACGGTTGCGTTACTGTTGCGTTAAGGTTGCGTTACGGTTGCGTTACTGTGCGTTACGGTTCTTTAACCCCAACGCAACCGCGACGCCTCAAATCTTTTCGAAACTCCCGTCCGAAAATGACTTGCGCTTCAAGACATTGGAAAGAATTAGAGCCATTTTTGACCACGGCTTTTCAGTTCGGGACAAGATTATACAGTGGCGCTTCTGATAAACGGTCATCAAAAACCAAAAAGTAGTGTGATTTTAATTTATATAAATTTTTTCCAGAAGCAATCGGATGCTGTCAAAGTTGCCGACGAACACCTACCTGCTGTGTCTGGCGGCCATGTCGTCGCTCTTTTTATTCTCGCTACTTTTATTTTGGATTGAGGAGGTCGCTTATATCTACTTCTATGTACGTTGCATGCCTTCTACAGTCTCCCCTCCGCACCTTTTTTCATTTATTTTTTAAAATCATGGTGGCACTTGGAATGGCTGACTCAAGATGCGACCGACCAGAAACGAGTTGCGCGTTGAGGCAGTTTGAAAAAGCTACTCAACGCTTTGAGCCATTCCAAATGCGACCATAGAGTTTCACGAGAGAATTAAAGACACTATATTGAAAAACAATCAGCAAACTCTCTTAAGAAAAAAAAACTGGTTAAAAAAATGCATTTTTAGATAGTTTAAAGCATAAAAAACCTAGATTTTGAAAGAAAAAAAAAAGCAAAAATGAAAAAAACCTCCGCGAGGATCGAACCAGAGACCTCTCGAACGCCAGCAAAGGCCTTATCCACTGCACCAGCATGGAAAGCATGGCTCAAACCTGTCATGTACACAGTACCGCTATCGTTGGAATGAGAAAAATGTTGAAATTTCATTAAAAAAAGTTCGAAATTAAGGTTTTTGGTTCATTTTGAAGGATTTTCAAGTTTGAATTCATTAAAAAGAATTATCATGATAAAAGTGTGTAATATTTCGTAATTTACTTAAATTTGTAGTTTTTTTTTTTAAATTTAATGGTTCAAAAATAGTTTCAGGACATTTTCCATGATTCCCTGCTGCGGAACAGCAACTTCAGCTGCATGATCAACACGTTTTTGGCCCATGTCTGCGATTTTTCCTCGGTCTGGCTCATCGTTCTCGTCGGATTCGAGCGGCTAATTCTGCTCCATCGCAAAAATCGCAGTCTTACTGTAGAGAGGTACGGTGATAATTAATAAATATCCATCCTATTTCTGATAAAATGGCAAAATTTACAAAAAAAAAATTCAGTGGAAGGTCTCGTCGCGATTAGAGGCGAATGATGAGAAATTACTGTAGCTTTTTTTTAACAAACTTTTTTTCATGAAAAATTAGTTTTTTTCAGTATTAAATATATTTTTTTTCAAGGTGAGAAAAATTAAAGTCACGAATATCTTTTTTTAAAAATTTATTTCGAAAAATCATATTTTTTTAATATTTTTGTTTTAGCCACCCGCACGAATTCGATGAATAAATTCCGGATTTTGAAATCTTTTTTTCCAAATTCTAAAAAAATGAAGTTGAAAAAAATTGATAGAAAATGAAAAAAATTCGTCTTTTTTTCCGTCTGAAAAAAATCCGAAAAATATATTTGTTTGGTTATTATTTCAGTTTCTATAATTTAAAAAAACTTCAAAAATCAGAGAAAAAAACCTTTTTTTCTCATTTTCTGTTTAAAAAAACTGCAGGAAAAAGGTTTGCGAATTGGAAAAATTTGCTATTTTTTTCAAAAAAATATTCATGGAAAAACCTTTTTTTCATTTTTCTTTCTTTAACAATAATCAAAAAAATTTTTTTGTAGAGCCCGAGTTCAAATCGTAGTGCTTCTGGGCATAGCCATGCTGTTCAACGTCTGGATTCTGTTCGTGGCCGAGATGGACGAGGCCGGCCAATGTGACATCAACGAGAATTATATCAACCTCTACAATACTATGACCGTTTTGGAGGTTTTTTTCGAAAAAAAAAAATAAATAACTGAAGTTCCGGTTTCAATCATTAATTTTCGCCAGTTCAGCTTTTCCTTGCGCGATCAAAATCATTGTCCTATTGCTTTAATTGAATTGGCAAAAATAGAAAATTAGGTGATTTTAGAATGATTTTTTTTGATTTAGGAAGATTTTCCATTGATTTTCCGAGGATACGTTCAATTTTATAGTGAAGATACAGTTTTAAAGTAAAAATATCGAATTTTGACGGTTAAATAGAATATTTTTTTGTAGTTTTTTGAATAATTTTTGACTGAAAATCGCTTTTTTGGTTGATATTGGGGTTTTAGAAAGTTTTTGAGAACATTTGTTCGAGAAAAATGATGATTTATTGACCACAGATTTGAAAATATTCACTTTAGTGACCACTTGAAGAGCTGAAACCCCTTAAAAACTATTGAGAATCCGAAAAAATCAGTAAAAAATACTTACGGTTAAAAAAAGGTTGATTTGAAAAATTAAATTTTGACCAAAAAAATTGAAAATTAAAAAGTTAACTTAAAAATAAAAAGAGTTTTTTTAACCCTAAAGATTATTTATACTGACTTTTTTTCCGATTTCCTAATTTTTTTAGGGGTTTCAGCTCTTCAAGTGGTCACTAAAGTGAATATTTTTCAAAGATCTGGTCACAAAATTTCCGTTTTTTTACGAAAAAAATGTTCGCAAAAAAACTTTCTTCAACCAAAAAAACTAATTTCTGTCATAATTCATTTAAAAAAACTACAAAAATCCTCTATTAATCCGCCAAAAATTTGATATTTTGACTTTAAACTGTATCTTCACCATAAAATTGAACGTGTTCTCATTAAACCAATTGAAAAAAACTTCCTAAAAAATTCTAAAAATCGCCTAGTTTTAAAAATTTTTTTCAAAAAAACCTCTATTAAACCGCCAAAATTTGATGTTTCGACTTTTTAAAAAACTTCGAAAGTTGAAATCCTTTCAGACGGTCGTTTGCATGGCGGTCCCTTCAGTAATCATCATCATTTCCAACGTTTTGGTCGTTTTCAAACTGAATGCCCATGTTAGGTACGTTTCGAAATGGCTATGAAAGAATATAATATAAGTTGGTCCGTTTCTCCTTTGAGCACCTGGTTGACAGAAATCAATTTTACGCTTTGAATTTGAGCAATTTTTGAGAAAAAGCGGATAAGGTTTGATATCGAAAAATTCCTGAAAAGAGTGGAAAATTGGACTTGGAAAAGGGCATGCTGGAAAGTGCGCGCTGTGCGCACTCTTTTCTCGTGCGCACGTAAGGAAAATGCGCACTCTTTTTTCAAATTTTGTACAGGAAATTGCGCTCTCTTTCTAACAACAGGAAAATGCGCACGGTTATCAAATTGCGCTTTTTTCTAGATTGAAGTCCACATAAACCATCTCACTTTTCTCTTTGTCATGAAGAAATCTTTCAGCTAAAGATGAATTGAACATCTTTTGATTATTTGATAATTTATGGAGAATATTTCTTATCAGGAATGGTCTGCGGTCACTTCGGAATGAGACCAGGTGTAGTTATGCAAAAAAAGTGAGATGCTCTTTTTGAGACCAAGCTGATTCCAAGCTTGGTCTCAAAAAGCTGCCGCGAAAAAAATCTGCTAAAAAAAGTGAGATGCTCTCAAAATATACAGATCTTTTCCATCTGATAACATTAAACAATACAGAGTGGAGGAATAATTACTGCGACAAAAGTTTTTTAGCATTTGCTCTCGCCGACCCGAGCTCATTTTTGTTCCAGTCATTATTCCTACCTTCATCAAGCCTTCTTCTATAATATGATGATGCCACGCTGACTTTCGGAAAAGTCGTTTCTGCCTTTTGGGCGTTTATGGCAAGGCAGGCAGGCTTGGCTATGAAGGCCTAAAGCCCCCTAGGACTTGATTTTTTTAATTTCGAAAAAAGCGCGGGCTCGGGCCAGAGATTCAAGAAACTTTTTTTATTTCATTAAAAAAACATTTTCACCGAAAAAAATATTTTTTTACATGTTGAATCACATTTTTTTAATAACTCAATGAAGAAAAAAATAAGCAAAAAAACCCCGCTTTTTCTCGTTAAAACAGCTAAAAAAATTCGAAATGAAGAAAAATTTGAGCTTTTTGGGCCGGGCCGAACCACCAAAAAAATTTTTTTCAGTGATTTTTTTACAGCCAAGTACAACACTGGAAAAAATCTTGACTCAAAGTTACTTCATTACGCATCAAGGCCGTATGAGAGGGAGTTTATTGCGACGTTCAGAAATTATTCGATAAGGTCGCCCTGAAGCTCAATTTGAACGTACTTTTTAAGGTTTCGATTCTCGAAATTGATAACGATTCACGTCTATGTAAGCAATTAAAAGAAGTCGCAAAAATTGAAGGAATTGTTTTTCCGAAAAAAATAGAGAAAAAAAGGGTATCGCGAGACCCTCTGAGGCATATCGCAGGGTCTGAAGCCTATCGATGGTAACCCAAGTATACCTCTGAGGACTTTGAGCAAAAATGAGATAGACTTGAGGGAGACTCTAAAGTACCTCCGAGATAGCTCAGATATAGCTAGTCTCTGTAAGAGATGAGGTCAACTCAGAGAGCAGTAAACAAGATAATTTGAAAGGTGTGTACCTTTTTTCTCAGTACCTTATGGGGTTTAGCAGATAGTATTGCCTGTTTTTAAGTACCCTTACTTACTAGGGAACTACTCGGACTCGGGTACGCGGATCGAGTTCAAACTTTAGTGGTTTATAGACCTAAGTGAAAACACTTGAAAAACAAGTGAGAATATCTGCTAAACCCAATAGAGAACTGAGAAAAAAATTAGTAGAAAAATGTGAAAAATTAGACCTGAAAAATTTTTCAGAATACTGCTTTTTACCTTATTTAATATTTTAATAAAATCGCCTTGAATGATCCGGCTATGATAAACACTAAAAAAACTTTTTTTCCAGCCAAAAAGAAGGAGGAAAAGCAAAAAAATTTGATAGTTTTCAAGCCTAAACTGTTCATTTTTCAAAAAAATAGTTTTCTCAGAAGTCTATAGGATTTAGCAGATAATCTCTCTTGTTTCCAAGTACTTTTTACCCGGGTCTATAAGCCACCAAAGTTTGAACTCGATCCTTGAATGCGAGTTCGCGTAGTTCCCTAGTCAGCTCAAAACCAATTTTTCGAGTCCTTATCGAAAAAAAGGTCTTATCCGGTTAGAAGAATGGAGTTTTGTGCTTTTTTTCTGTTATCCCATTGACTCCAAAAATTTTTTTGAGAAACTTCAATGTGCCTCTTGTAACAGTACACACCAGTTTGCCTACTGACTTTTTGGCCGTTCTGCTCAAAAAAACTGTGACAAAACTGATTTTCGACCATCTGCGTACCGCAGTCAATTGGGTGCCACTACATTTTCGAGCGGCAGTTCATGTTAATTTTTTTGATTAAATCCCTGTAAAAACTTTATAAAAAAATAATTGTGAGTTTCCGGTCTTTATTGACTATTGACAATTGACATATTGACAGCTCCTTCATTTTGTCGCAGTAATAATTCATCACCCTGTAAATTTTCTTCAGAAATATTTTTGAACCTCGAAAGGTCCTTTCGATTTGTATTTCACATATTTCCCTTTTATAATATAGTTTGTCCATGTTTTGAGTTTCAAGCAGCAATCTCTGCCCCAAACAAAGCCTGTGAGTGGCTCGTTCTCTGATTGGTTTGATCTACACATAAGAGGCGGAGTTCGACCGATGACTTGACATTCAAATTCTGAACAAACTATAAACGCCGACTGTGGCTTTCTTCGGAAAAATAACATTCCAAAATTTAAAAACACATTATCACGTGAAAGGTAAATCAGTCTGACCAGTCTAGTGACCGCCTGGTATTATTATTGAAAAAAAGATGAATTCTGAAAAAAATCAGTTATATCAACTTCAAATAATCCGAAAGAACAGGATTTGATAACCGTGCGCATTTTCCTGTTGTTAGAAAGAGAGCGCAATTTCCTGTACAAAATTTGAAAAAAGAGTGCGCATTTTCCTTACGTGCGCACGAGAAAAGAGTGCGCACAGCGCGCACTTTCCTGCATGCCTTGGAAAAGCCTCGTCTTGTTTGAAAAATCTCAAGTTTGAGCTTTTTTTTGAACGCGAGAGAGGTCACTAGAGGGATTAGGGGGATGTAAACAAAAAAAAAAACAAAGCCACGCGACGCACACGCGCATTCGTCTGATGGGGCGCGCTTGCTGTTTTTCCCCTTTTTTTGGGATCCTATGCCGTGTTCAATTTGATTCCGCGAAATGCGAAATACCCGTTAGAGAAAGGAAAAGATCACTAAATTTTGGAGAGTCAGAGATCATTTTGCATTTCGCGGAATACAATTGAACACGGCACTAATTCTGCTCGGAAAAGAAAAATTTAAAAAAAAGTTTAATCTCGCTTTTTGCGCGTCGCTTTTCATGCATCGCGTGCATTGCATACAACACATTTTATTTTCCGCCGTTGCGGTGGGTGTGGCGTCGATTTGGTGTCGCCGTGAATTAGTGCTCCCTGGAGGGCTAAAAAAGTTCAGGGCCTGACTTCTGAGCCTCCAAAGCGATCCCTATAGTGGTCTTTTAATCGTTTCTTAAAATTTTTTTAACCTCCGTTTATCCATGAACCAAAAATTTACTGATTTTTTAAGTTTTGGAACACTAGAGCAGTCACTATAGGGGATAGGGAGAAAAATTTCCCCATGGTGGACACGATAGTGCTCCCTAGAGGGCTAAAATCCAAGTGGTCCCTATAGGAGTTTAAAGTTTCATTCCAATCCCTTAAAGCTTGAGTGGTCCCTAGAGTGGTCTTTTCATTTTTGTCTTGATTTAAAAGTTAGAAAGTCATGGCGTGCTCCCCCTAAAGTGGCCACTTTGAGATATAAAAATGTCCCTTGAGGGGACCCTACAACAGCCCCTAAGGTTACCTCTCTAGGGACCACTCTGACGTTCCTGAGAGCTAATTTTTGTCTTGAAATTTCAGTTTTTAACCATTTTTCATCGAAAATTCCAATTTTCAGAAGAAATCCGGGCTCCCCGGCCGTTTCTTTCAACACGGCGGATGTCGTTCTGACGACGAATACTTCGGCGCCAAGCCACACTTTGAAAAGTTATACGAGGTAACTTTTCTAATTTTCTGTTAAGGGGCGAAAATTCTTGAGAATTTGCTGGAAATTAATATGATTCTGACGTAAAATTCTCAAAAAACAGCACAAAAAAAAATTTATTTTCAGCTTCAGGAAGAAAAAAACCGAGTTTAATCAAGATAAAAAAAGGTTCTTATAAAGTCCAAAAATTCAGCCGAAAATCGAAATTTTCGAGCTTTGACCTTTTTCACTAAAGTGGTGACTTTGAAGGTTTTCAAATTCGACAAAACGGCAAAAAAATTACGAAAAAAATTGATTTTTATTGCAACCCTATAATTTCTTAAATGATTGAAATTCGCTCAATTTTTCTGTCAGAAATCAACTTTTTTTATCCGTTTTTTTCAATATTTTCACTAAAGTTTTCACTTTAAAGCGTTTTTTTAAACCACGAAAACCGTCAAAAATCTATTTTTTTAAATCTAAAACTCGTTATTTCTGACAAAAATTCGATTTTTTTCTACCCGTTTTTCTTCAATATTTAACCTTTGAACTTTGAAAAAAATATTTTTTTTTGTCAAAAAAATTGGAAATTTCAGAATATCCAGTCGCTTTTCACTGGACGTCGAAAGAGTGCCCAAGAAGAAAAAAAGGTGATTTTTTTGATTTGTAAATGGAATTTTGAAGAAAAAAATGACTTTTAGAAGGGCCTCCGGTACACGGACATCCAACTGACGCGGTCACTTTTGGTCGTCACCTGGGCTTTTATCATGTTGAACCTGCCCAATTACCTGTACCGCATCGCTTGTATCCTTTTTGGCATTTCTGATCAGGTTGGACTTTTTTTTCTTGGTTTTTGAAAATTTCTGAAGTTTTCTCCGTGAAGTTTTCTGCATATTTTTTTGAGTAAATTTAAATTTTCATCCTTAAATTGGGGTAAAAATTATGATTTATCATGATTTTTTTATCATTCTAGACGCTTCAAGGCTTGGATTTCTCGAATTTTATATTTTCTTAAAGCTTTTTTCATAGAGTTTTCTGCATAATTTTGAATGAAATCGAAGGACATGTTTAGACAATATTATTTTTTTAAAAAAAGTGAATTTTTTTGAAAATTTTTTTATCAAAAAAACTGGAAACCCCTGAATTTTATTCGAAATTATTACATTATAAAGTCATTTTTTTCAAGAATTTTCATTTTTTTCCGAGAGTTTTAAACTTTTTTTAAATGAATAAAAAAAGGCGCTAATAGTTTCTTTTTCCTACCTCTGTAAGCTTCCTACAAATTTTTCGTAGTCCTAGGCAACATTCTGACAAGTTTCAGCCCATATTTATCCAAAAAAATCTTTCACAAAGTACAATTTCATAGACGTCATGTGAAATCATTCCTTTTTGGGTGCGAGTTTTGCGGGGAATATATATTTTGCAAAACGGCTGTTTTTTAATAAATCACATCAGAAATTTGTTTAATTTCAACTTTACAAAGAAATTATAGAGCGATTTAGAATTAAAAAAAAATTTTTTTGTAGGAAAATCATGATTTTTAAGGCATTTTATTCTGAAAAGTTTTGTGAATCATGAAAAAAAGTTCTTGGAAAGTAAGTTATATTTGTACAGCGTCTACACAGCTAATTTTTAGACGATAAAATGAATTTTCAAGATCAGGACCGTTTTTTGAATGGCCCAATGCTCCTTTAAAGTTTAGGGTAATTTATAGCATGATTTTTTTTTGTAAGTGAATTTATCTCTTATTTTGATGAATGAATAATCTTCACAGCGGACTCAAGACGATAAAACAATTTTACAACCACAGGACCATTTTTTAAGGTACCCTATGCTCCTTTAAAGTTTAGGGTAATCTGATTTTCTGACTTTTTAAAAAAAAATGAATTTATCTGTCATGTTGATGAATGAATAATCTTCACAGCGGACTTAAGACGCTAAAATGAATTATCGGCCCTAGGACCATTTTTGGAGAGGTCCTATGCTCCTTTAAAGTTTAGGGTAGTTTATAGTCTGATTTTTTTTTAAAGTGAACTCATTTCGAAGCCATTGCTGAATGAATAATCTTTACAGCGGGATTAAAACGTTGAAATAAACTTTTGGCCTTAAGACCTTTTTTATAGCGACCCTATGCTCCTTTAAAGTGCAGCTTAATTATTGGCCTAAATTTTTATTTTTCAATTGGATTTACCTGTATTTTTTTAAGGTAATTTGTGAATGAATTATAATCTAAAAATATTATTTTATTTTTTTTTTTTATCAAAATTTTTTTTAAGAATGCTGTTTTGAAAGTGCACTTCGGAACGTCAAAATGGTCCCTAGAGGGGCCACTTGAGGGCTAAATCTAGGTCTCCTAATAGGGACCGCAATACCTCTTCTATAGGGACCACTTGAGCTTTAGGGGTCCGACCCTACTATACCCCTATAGGGACCACTTTAGAACCCCATCGTTGAATGACTACTGCGAAATTTCGTGCATTTATTTTTGAAACCGGCTGTTGATGAAGAAAAGATTGTAGAAAGCTCAAAAATCATTGAATATTCGATTATTTTCAGACGGAAGCGATGCAGAAGATGTCGCTGTTGGCGCACGTCTTCCTCTACACTCACCACGCCTTTCTCTTCTATCTGTACATTTTCTACTCGCCCCAGATGAAACGACGATTAAAACCGACTGCGTTGAAATTACTGGAATGTTATTGTTTCAAACCACCCGGTGATTATTCTGATCAGACCTGAGAAACCGGATTTTTAAAGACGCAGGCGCTCAAGTCATAATGCTCCTTTAATAAGATTTATGAGCTCTGAGCTGAAATTTGTATCGAATCAGAATGTGATTACTTTGATCAGTTGATTTTTTTTTGTTGATTTTGAGAGATAAATTTAAAGGCGCAGGGCGTGGCTTAAGTCTTCATGCTCCTTTAATAAGATTTATGAGCTTCGAGCTGAATTTTGTATCGAATGGACTGTGATTACTTTGATCAGTAGAATTCTTCTTGTTGTGTTAATTTTGAGAAAATTTTAAAGGCGCAGGGCGTGGCTTAAGCCATCACGCTCCTTTAATAGTAATTATGAGCTTGGAGCCAAGTTTCGTGTGTAAATTTTATTCTAACAGATTACCTTTTGTTCCTTCTCATCTTCGTAATAGTTTCTGAAAAGTTTGAAGGCGCAGGGCGTGGCTTGAGTCGTCATGCTCCTTTAATAAGATTTATGAGCTTCTAGCTGATTTCCGTACCTCTCTAGAGTTATCAAAGGCGCAGGGCACGGTCAAAAAAAATCGTTGCGAGATTTTTTTGAAATGTTCCTCCTGCTCCTTTAATAATACAAAAGATAATTTTAATTTTTTTTTCTCTATTTTCGTGTTTGTTCTATGGATCGATTGTCGTTTTCCTACCTTTTTTCCGGCTGCTTCTCCATTCCTTCTGCAGATTTTTGTAAATTTTTCAAGTTTGAAAAAAAAGAGATACATTTTACTGGTCCTGCCACGCTTTCCTTTAATTATTACGCGTACTTTTTTGTTTTTTTCCCTGTTTTCTGCTTATCTACGAGTTCTCTCCTAATCTTGAATGTATAAATTGATCTTTCCTCTTGAAAATAGCAATGAAAAAAGACAATAAAAATTGGGTTCTGAAGCAAATCTGAAGCTTCTGGATGAAGCTCAATCAATTGAAAGCTTACATCATTCGAAAGATGACATCAAGACGAATCGATTGATATAATCAGGTGAGCTGTATCTGCTCTGGGAGCCGAGATATAAGCCTTCAAAGTTTACCATTAAAATTTTAATAGGCGTCAGATAAAATGCATTCGGTGGGCTGCACCGCGGTGTACTTTTCTCGCGAAAAAGGAAAAGCTCAAAAAAAAGTTTGTCTTTTTGAAGTTTGAACTAGATCAATCGATAGAGCAGCTTCCATATAGTAGAGTTATCATATCACCTTCAAGGAAAAAGCTCAAAAATGGGGTGAAAAACGAGTCTGAAAAGCCGCATTTTTCAGACTTTCAAGCTCTATAACTTTGTTGATTTTGAAGTTTCAGAAGAACTGATTATATCAATCGATTCGTCTCGTTATCAGCTTTTCATTGATATAGGACTTCGAGAGTTTCCATCAACGTGGATGACGTCCCTAAGTATCCCAGCTTACATTTCAGCTTCTCCTCAAAACCAGTTGGAACTATTATCAATCGATGAAGCTTCTGAAGACGGATTCAATGATATAACTCAATCTCTGATAACTCATCGGAAAGCCGAGTTATAAACTGAGGCAAGTCTGAAGCTTCTGGGTGGAGCTCGATCATTTGATAGTTTATATCATTCGAAAGATGACATCAAGACAAATCGATTGATATAATTAGATAAGCTGTAGCTGCTCTGTGAGCCGAGATATGAGCCTTCAAAGTTCCTCATTAAAATTTGCATAGGCGTCAGATAAAATGCATTCGGTGGGCTGCACCGCGGTGTACTTTTCTCGCGAAAAAGGAAAAGCTCAAAAAAAAGTTTGTATTTTCGAGGTTTAATTTAGATCAATCGATAGAGCAGCTTCCATTTAGTAGTATTATCATATCACTTTCAAGGAAAAGCGCAAAAAAGGGGGTGCAAAACGGGTCTGAAAAACCGCATTTTTCAGATTTTCAAGCTTCATAACTTTGTTCATATTGAAGTTACAGAGGAACTGATTATATCAATCGATTTGTCTCGTTATCAGCTTTTCAATGATTTAAGTCTTCAAAAGTTTTGACTATTTTGTGAGACATCAAAAAGTTTTCCGGCTTACATCTCAGCTTCTCCCTCAAGCCGGAGAATATGATAATCAATCGATAAAGCATTCAAAGATGAACAATTTTTGTATTTTATTCACTTATAGTTCATCAAAAAACCGAAATACGAGCTGAGGCAAGTCTGAAGCTTCTGGATGAAGCTGAATCAGTGAATAATCTAGATCGTTGAAAAGCTGATAACGAGACAAATCGATTGATATAATCAGCTCCTATGTAACTTCAATATGAACAAAGTTATGAAGATTAAAAGCCCATAAAAAGCCCTTTTTCGGACCTCTTTTTGACCCATTTTTCAAGCTTGCCGCCCTAAACTGATATGATACCACTACTATATAGAAGCTGCTCTATCGATTAAACTAGGAAACAGTTGAAAAAGACGAACTTTTTTTTGAGCTTTTCCTTTTTCGCGAGGAAACCACACCGATGAGAGCCTCAGACAGGCACTTGACCCGACGCGCGATCTCGGTCGAGACAATTTATCTCACGCGCAAGTTTATTTTTTAGAGAAACTTTAAAGGCTCTTATCTCGGCTCCCAGAGCAGATACAGCTTATCTGATTATATCAATCGATTCGTCTCGTTGTCATCTTTCGAATGATATAGGCTATCCATAGATTGAGCTTCATCCAGAAGCCTCAGACTTGCCTCAGCTTTTTACTCCATTTTATGTTAAGTTAACAAAGATCAAGTTATCGATCCATCTTAAAAAGCTTCATCAATTGTTGATAATAGTTTTGACTCGTTTCGAAAAGAAGCTGAGATGTAAGCTGGAAAACTCTGTGATGTCTTCCAAGTCGCATAAAACTTTCAAATACTCATACCATTCGAAAGCTGATAACAACTCAAATCGATTGACATAATCAGTTTATCTGAAACTTCGAAATTAACAAAGTTATGGAGCTTCAAAGTCTGAAAATTGCGATTTTTCCGACCATTCTTATTTTCGAACATTTCCTTTGAAAGTGTTATGATAATACTACTATTTGGAAGCTGCTCTATCGATTAATCTAGCTTAAACTTCAAAAAAACGAACTTTTTTTTGAGCTTTTCCTTTTTCGCGAGAAAAGTACACCGCGGTGCAGCCCACCAAATGCATATTATCTGACGCCTATTCAAATTTTATTTGGGAACTTTGGAGGCCTATATCTCGGCTCTCAGAGCAGCTACAGCTTATCTAATTATATCAATCGATTTGTCTTGATGTCATCTTTTGGATGATTTAGGTTATCACCCGATTTAGCTCAGTCTAAAAGCTTCAGACTCCAGTCAGCTCATATCTTGAGATTATGATAACTTATTAGCAATTCAAGTACATGGATCTGACTGCCAAGTCCATGGAAATCTCAGAAATCTTATCTCATCAGAAAGCTGATAACGAAACGAATCGATTGATATAATCAGTCCTACTGTAACTTTGAAATGAACAAAGTTATTAAGCTTAAAGTTATTCGACATTTCTTCTCAAAAATCGATGTTTTCGCTTCAAAAATTTTATATCAAAATATTCTCAGTTCTCAGCTCCATTTCGTGATCAACAAGGAAGAAGCTTTATTGAATCAGAAGACTTGAGCGTCGCTCCCCAAATCCCGACACGGATACACACACACATGGAATAGAAGACTAGTCTGTCGCCAAGTTGAGGAAGAGAAAAAAAAACGGAACGGATAATCTTCAGTTTTATTGGATTGGCGAGAATTGGAAGGGCTAGTGGTCACTACAGGGGCGACTGGGAGCAGATGGGCGCGCAGTCGGCGATCATGCACGCGCGGATCAGCTTCAGCGTCGCCATGGCTTCTCGTTCGCCGGCCTCGCCGGGCATGTGGCCGAGCTCGTGGGTTGCCGCCTGAGAACTTCTTGTGTGAATAAATATAGGCTGGTCCGATTTTGGATGTGAAGATCAAGCTCCGCCCCTAATGCTGCTATACTGATCAGAGACCGTTTTGAAATAAAGAAATTGTACTTGAGATTCCGAGAAAAATCCGATTAGACTATGAAGAACCGAGAAAGATCAATTCAATCATTTTATTGAAATCAAATCAAAATGTTTCATTTCTCACACACAAGTATTAAAATTCACGAAATAGATGTAGGTCTATCTGTATAGCTGATTCACGGCTGGCTTGAGCCTTCGAAAAAGGGTCCTGACACGAAAATGCACGAGATAGCGCCTGACTCGTGGAGAGCGCAGACAGGACACGCCCCCTTAGCGTCCCAAGCTGACCGTGAATCAGCTATATACCATCTGTATTCTGACCAGCAGGTGAGCATTATTAAAGGAGCATGAAGAAAATTTTAGAAAATTTTCGTAGCGATTTTTTCGGCCATACTCTGCGCCTTTAACAACTCTAGGAGGTTTGCAATGTTTTCAGTCCAAAATACAGATAAAAGCTCATCACTTTTATTAAAGGAGCATGACGGCTCAAGCCACGCCCTGCGCCTTTAAACTTATCAGAAATATTTTTCGAAGGTGAGCTGTTAGAAAATTTTTTTTCATAAATTATCTTTCAGCTGATAAAAAAAAAACAAGAAAAAAAGTGTTTTACTGTATCAAAATGGTAAACGCCTTGTTCGGAGGGACGCCAAAGTGGTCCCTAGAGGGGCAGCCCTGAAGGCTCTTTATGTTTCCCCTCCAGGAACCACCTCACCTTGGAAACTTACAAAACAAACTCCTCTAGAAGAATATTCGTCGCTTAATTTTTAACAGACCCTAAACCCCTATAGGGACCCCTTGAATTTCATTCGTCTAGGGAACACTATTTTGTCAACTATTGGGTTTCCCCTAAACCCTCTAGGGGTCACTCTGGTGTTTCTAGGCTCCTTAATTTGATATACAAAGCGGTTACAAAATCTTTTGGAACAACAAAATGATTGAAAGGCCTTTTTTTAAAGAAAAAGAAAACGAACGGCAGCGACGGAGTACCAGCAGTCCTTCTTACAGCAAATGCAGGGCATCTGCAGATGAGCTTCTACTGAACATGCCTGGGAGGCCTGCGGCAAGTTCGGCATCGACTGAGCTGCAAAAATCGGAGAAGTCGATGAGCTTGGAAAACGGTGTTTTTTCACGACTTCGCCGGCGTATATTTCGTCGTTTTCGATGTTTACGGTGCACTACACCGTTACGCGCAATGCACAGCGCGCGAATTTGAAAACCTTACTATTATTTTTAATTTTTCGGCATTGAAGTATTTCACATTTGTATTCGCGTTTGCAACGTTCAGTTATTTTGAACGTTGGTTCAAGTTTTCTAAAATTGAAATGAATTCGTGGACTTTTTTATGCCGTTTTAAAAATATTTTTTTTAGTGACGATTTTTTCGTTTCCGTTTGGACAAATCACTGCATCAAAAAAGTGAAAGTTGGTGGAAATGTAGTGAAAAACTTCCTCTTTCAACTCAATGGAAAAATGTTTAGTGGCCTCTGTAGTAGTCAAATAAGTGGCCACTAAAAGGGTTAAAAATTAGTGGCCACTTTAGGGGTCTAAGTGCTACTACTAGACATCTGAAAATCCTAGTAGCCACTTGAGGGATCAATGGATCATCATAACTGGTCGAATCTGTTTGTTTTCCACTTATCAAAGTTACTGGAAGGATTACTGGATGAAAAACTACTGAAGTGGCCACTTTAGTGTCCTCTCCAAGCAGAGCCTCTATAGTGGCCACTTAAAATTTTGCCAGTATATACTCTTCACTGAATTCATATTTGTTACAGCGGAGTGTTGTTAGAAAAAGTATAACGAATTTTTTCGTTTCTATTTTTAAAAAAAATTCCGAATCGATAACACTTGATTTTATTAAATTAAAATTAGAATCATAAAAAAACGATTTTTTTGTAAGCCTAGGGACCGCAAGCCATTTCTTCAGAACGATTCAAAAAATATGTTTTTCACATTGTTCGATAGAGGAGACTGTCCATTTTCATAATCCGTTTAGTTTTTGAAAAAAGCTTCACTAAGAAAAAAGTTATGGCCAAAAAACGAGCGCGCGCGGCGTACAACTGGAGGCAAAATCTCACGGTTTACCCGCTGCCGCACGCTTTCTTTTTAAATGTTTTTGCGCGTTTCTGGACCGTTTTTAAATCGGTTTTCTGTTCTGAGAGGTTGTCCGAACTGAGCCTCATGTTTTGGTATGAATCTTTTGTACAATCCTCATAAGAAGTTTTTGATAAAAATATCAAAAAAACAACCTAGAAAAAAAGGTCAAAGGATTTTTTTCAGCTTATTTTTTTCTTTTTTTCTACGCAGAAAAAAATTGATATCATTCGATTTGGAAAAAAAGAAAAAAATGAAAAAAATAATGTTATTTCGAAATAAAAACAGGAAAAAAAGTGCAATTTGACTCCGAAAAAAACGGCTCCTGCAACATTTAAAAGGGCGCATCGGTGTGTTTGACGCAAACACAGCTACGAATGCTTGCACGAAATCTTCCGAAATTTCAAAAAAAATTGCCATTTTTTCGAGGTTTTCAAAGCCGTTATTTTTTTCGCGTCGATCGATTTTTTTCATAATTTTTTCATTGATAGAGTTTTGAACGCTCAATAACCTGATCAAAAAAATGTAGACGCGATCCTATTCTCTCATGCGTCAACGAGGCAGGCGAAAAAAAGGAGGTTTTGGTAAAAACTCAAATATAATTTGATTCGCTGTCCCAATAATTATTTTCGTTTTGAATTTTTTTATTTTTTTGGACACACTGTTAGTTTTTAAATCAAATAAAAAAGTATACCATGTCGCTGAAATTTTTTTCGCATTTCAGCTTCAAAGTTTGCTGTCACTTTACAAGCTTTAATATTTTTTTTCGCGTCGGTAGATTTTTTTATTTTCACTCAAAAAAATAAAGAAAGTGTTAATGTATAACATACTTAAAAATTTAGAAGCGTTCCTCACTTGCTTTTTCTGAAACGCGACGATTTTGTGAAACTTGTCAGTTTTTTTCGTGTTAAATCTTACTTTTTTTCGCTTATTTTTTTGAAAAAAATACATAGTTTAAAAAAATATTCAGTCCTGTAGAGCGTTGTCGATTACATAGGTTAACAGAAACAGTTCATTTTCAAAGTGGGACTTTAGCTAGTATAAACGCCTCAAAACCGTTTTTGCAACAAAAAAATCGTCATTTTGGTGGCGTGAAGGGGCGGGGCTTTGCGCCCCCTATGTAAGCCGAAACTTTTGAGAGGTGCCTGAAAATCAAGCAACAGGGAATATTAAAGGCCCATGTTCAATGGGTCATGAGACGACCATCGATGTCTCAATTAAAAAAACTCAGTTTGAATTTTTGAAGCATGATCAGAGTGGTTCTGCAAAACTCAAAAGCCGTCAGAGAGGGAAAAATATATTTCACGGTATGTGCGAGAGCGCCGCAGTGTATGCACACTACACACTACACTTTACGGAAAAATATGGGCGGGCGTCAAAAAAAAGCCGTTTTTCAAAAAATAGACGTTTCCTCAGGTTGAGACGTTCAGAATATTATTCTGCAACTAAGAATATTTCAGTGTATATTTTTTTAGATTTTTTTGAATAAAAAAAGCTGAAGTAATTCTCTCCAAAAATTTTTTTGAAAAATTTTTTTTAGTATTTCTTTTTTTCAGAGCCTTGCAATTCAGTTTAAAAAAAAACCTGAAAATCGAAAAAATAAACAAAAAAACGAACCAATGACGACGAGCAGTGAAAGGACAACCATTGAAGCCAACATCATTCCGTTCATTTTTTATCCGTCTTTTTTTTGGGAGTACCTGAAAATCCTTCGTTTACTGGGAAAAAGTCGAGTGGCCACTATAGTAGTTTTATTACCACTTAGACTCCTAAAGAGGCTTCTAAATTTCAACCCCTTAAGTAGCCACTATTTCGACTACTACTATAGGTCACTATAACTTCAAAAACCCTAGAGTGGCCACTAATAATTTCCCTGTTAGAAAAATGGGAAACGGTGCAAAAAGAAGAGAAGAAAATGAAGAAAAAGTTTTAAAAAAATGAGATTTGAGGCTTTTTTTGTGACTCCAGTCTCCTTTTAACTGTTTTTAAAAATTTGAAAAAAACTTATTTAAAAAAATTAACCCTAATAAATCATGAAAGAAAGGGGTAAAGTGAGGTAATTGAGAAAAAATGGAAAAATGCTACCGTAATCTTCAAAAAACCATAAAAGCGAAAAAAGACTCATTTCCATCTTACTGTAGTATTACTGTAATTCCAAAACTACCGTAAACCTTCAAAAAAGTTCAAAAAGGAAGAAAACGAACAAAAAAAGAAGAAAGCAATCATTTTTCAAAGTGGGTGGCGCGCGATGGAATGACGTCATGAAGGGGGGCGGTTTTGATGTCGTTTTCTTTGCTCTAATGCGAAAATCTTTTTTTGGAAAAGAGCTGAACTTCTTCTGAAGACCAAAAAAGCATTTGAGAAGAGCAAGGAAAAAAATTGAACATGAAAAATTCAGTTTTCCAACAGAGGGGGAAGAAAAAGGAGATGAATTTTTCATTTTTTGGAGTAGTTTCGAAAAGCCATTTTGGAAAATATGACTTTTTTGATTGGCTTTAGGGTTCTAGAGGAGAAAATGACTTTTTTCGAAGTTGTGGTCGCATTTGGAATGGCTTAGAGTGTCGAGGGCGCGTCGCGATCACAAATTTGACTATTAGCAGATTTTTAACGCTATCCGATGCTCCTAAGCGAAAGCCGTTTCTGGTCGGGCGCACATCAAATTGACGGCTTTTGCAATAGTTACATCTTTTTTGATGAGGGTAGAGTTTGAACTTCCTGTCTCAAAAAGCAATGGACGCATTTGGAATGGCTCAAAGGTTGCTTTTTAAAGCAGCCGTCTCGAAACTACTTGCGCCTTAGAGCTTATTGGCTTGGGATTCTAGAGATGAAGATTATAAAACTCTTCGTTCTCTGGAGCTTAGGACCCTAGGTCGCATTTGGAATGGCTTAAAGTGTCGAGGCCGCTTTGCCGTTATAATTTTGACGACCAGCAGTTTTTCTAACGATTTCAGATGCTTCAAAGCGTAAGTCGTTTCTAGTCGGATGCGCCTCAAATCAACCCCGTTGCAGTAGTTCAACCATTACAAATAGAATTTCAGAAAACGTCCAAATTTTTTCAAATCTTGAGAAGCAATGGGCTCATTTGGAATGGACTAAGAGGTTGCTTTTCAAAGTACCCGACTCAAATTACTTGCGCCTGAGAGCGTTGGCTTGGGGTTTCTAAAAAAAATGACAAGAAAAATTGCTTTTTAACGCTTTCCGACGCTTCAAAGGCGCAAGTCGTTTCTGGTCGGGCGCACATCAAATCAACCGATTTGCAGTAGTTACTTACTTCCAATAAATCAAATTTCTTAAGCAATGGACGCATTTGGAAAGGCTCAGCCACTAAGAGGTTGCTTTTCAAAGCACCCGACTCAAAATGGCTTGCGCCTGAGAGCATTGGAACGTGTTAGAAAAACTAGGGACATCTATAGATCCGATTAAAACTTATTTTGCATGGTTCTCTCAAAACTGCAAGATATTTCTTGAACTGGATGTCAATTATTGAAAAATATTGTGAGGACAGAAAAGTAAAAAAAAAATTGAAAAAAATGCGAAAATAAGTTTTTCATCACTTAACCGCTTCAAAAAAAACCTGGAGTCAACCGCCAAATGTTTTTTTTAATGACTAAATTTCAGATTGAGCATTTCGAAAACTCTAAAAATCGGCAAAAAGAAGCTTCTCCTAGAACCAAGAAGCTTCAAAAAATAGAGGAGAATTTTCCACGGATGGGAAATAATTACAGGGACAAGAGATTGATGAAGGAAGGGCACGTGGCCGATTTGAGAAGAGAAATGGGTTTCGAAACGGTTCGAAATTGAGCCAGAAATGTGTTTTTCGAGATAAATTGAGGCTCAAAGATGTGATATTGAATTTAATCTCGAGAAAAATGGTTTTTTTTTTCAGAAAGACAATAAATTCTACAACTTTAATTTCATTTCTGAAGCCAAAAAATCAAATTAAAATAGTCCATTCGGTAAGCGTTGAAAAAGTCAAAAAGTGACGTCATTCGAGGCGGCTAAGATCCAAACAACGTCATAAAATGGCCGTGACTCGGCTGAACTAGTTTTTAAAAAAAGTGACGTCTCGCGACGCGGCTAAAATTTAAATTACGTCATGAATTTTTTTTTCCGAGAACAGATAGTTTATGAGAATCTTGACGTCATGCGACTCGGCTACGATTTGAAAAATTTTCGCGACGCGGCTAAAATTGAAAAAATGACGTCATAAAAGATGATGCGACTCGGCTAAAACTGGAAATACACTGAAAATTTCATAGGACTGTAGATCCTTCCAGGTAGAGTTGAAAAGGAAAAAACAAGCGATTTTATGAGGTCATGTGACTCGGTTATGGCTGGACCTTGCGACACGGCTATAATTTAAGAAATGACGTCATAAAGGGCTATAACTACTGACCCCCAAGTTTATGGGACAGTAAAACATCTTGAGAAAAAAGTTCCAAGAAAACTAAGCTATACAGTGACGTCATCCGTGTATAACGTGACGTCACTAATTCTTGCAACTCGGCTGTGCGACGCGGCTAAGATATGACGTCATGGAAAAGGCAGTAAGTTGGCTAAAACTACATCAAAATATTTCTTTCGAAGTTTGGGGGAGAAATCGGTTGAGCGACTCGGCTAAACTAATGACGTCATAAAACGTTGCAACTCGGCTAAGAATCATGCGACGTGGCTGAGAAACTCTACAAGAAAAGAGACTCGGCTAAGTTTTTCTATGACGTCATAAAACTCGGCCTTTTTAAGGAGCACGTATGAGACGAACGATGAATTATGAAAAAAAGAAAAACGCGACGCGGCTAAGCAACGCGGCTGAAAGATGACGTCATCAGAGTTTGCGACTCGGCTGAACTTTTCTATGACGTCATACAACGTTGCGACTCGGCAAAGAACCGGTTAAGAAGCGTGAATGAGAGGAATGATGAATTGTAAAGAGAAGAAAACGCGACTCGGCTGTGCGACTCGGCTAAATTTCTTTTTTCTACTTTTTCTTTCTGAAATCGCAACAATCGGCCTAATTACCCGAAAAAAAAGAATGAGGATCAAAAAAAAAAGGAGCAAACGGAGGATGTGGAAATGAAGGCCGCTCCGAAATTGAGGACCCTTTCCAAACAAACACTTCTCATTTTGCCGTAAAAAAGTTCTATTAACGGTTCCAAACACACGCCGGCGTCGCACACAATTAATTATTCGGCAAGATTTGGAAGATTTTTCGACCAAAAAAGAAGGTTGTTTGTTGGGTGAGCCCTACTTTCATATTAAATTCGGATCAAAACGAAAAAATGATGATTTTTTCATTAGGATAGTAGGAGGTTTTTAAAGGAGCATTGAGTTTTCGAATCCACGCCCTGCGCCTTTAAAAAACCAGCTTTTTTTCTTCAAAAATTAGCCGATTTACAGCAGATTTTTGAAGGAGCATAGGTAAAGCTTATTCAGTTTCTGAAGCCACGCCCTGCGCCTTTAAAAACCCCAGAAATTTTACTTCAAAAAAAGGCTGATTCTGAGCAGATTTTTGAAGGAGCATAGGGTCAAGTATTGAGTTTCTGAAGCCACGCCCTGCGCCTTCAAAAACGCCACTTTTTTCCTTCAAGAATAAGCCGATTCACAGCGGATTTTTTAAAGGAGCATAGGTACGCGTATTGATTTTCTGAAGCCACGCCCTGCGCCTTTAAAAACTCCCGTAAGTTTACATCAAAAAAAGCTGATTCACAGCGAATTTTTTAAAGGAGCATGGGTACGCTTATTGATTTTCTGAAACCACGCTCTGCGCCTTTAAAAAACCATCCTTTAAAAAACCATCCAATAGATTTTTAAAGAAGCATAGGTAATGCTTATTAATTTTCTGAAGCCACGCCCTGCGCCTTTAAAAATTTGACTTCATGCTTTCGAAAATCCTGATTTTCTCATTATTTTTTCTTCACTATAGCTTGAGGAAATCCTATTTCTCTGCGCTCTCTCTTCTCTAGATGACCCTCTCATTTTTATCTGCTACTTTCATTTTTTGCGGTGAAAGAAAAAGAGAGCGCAGTTAGGTCTGAGACTTTTAAAATTTTTTTTGATGAAAATAAAAAATCCGGTTGCCAAAAAAAAATGGCAAAAATGTAATTTCCCTCGCCAGGAATCGAACTCGTGACCTCTTGCTTGCCGCTATAATCAGAATTAATAGCCCAAACCTCCGAAAAAACGGCAAAAGTATTAATTCCCTCGACAGGATTCGAACTCGTGACCTCTTGCTTAGCACTTCTAATCGTCTTTTCGAAAATTCTAGGTAAAATCTCAGAAAAAACGGCAAAAATCTAATTTCCCTCGACAGGGGTCGAACTCGTGACCTCTTGCTTAGCATTTCTAATCGTCTTTTCGAAAATTCTAGGTAAAATCTCAGAAAAAACGGCAAAAATCTAATTTCCCTCGACAGGGGTCGAACTCGTGACCTCTTGCTTAGCATTTCTAATCGTCTTTTCGAAAATTCTAGGTAAAATCTCAGAAAAAACGGCAAAAATCTAATTTCCCTCGACAGGGGTCGAACTCGTGACCTCTTGCTTAGCATTTCTAATCGTCTTTTCGAAAATTCTAGGTAAAATCTCAGAAAAAACGGCAAAAATCTAATTTCCCTCGACAGGGGTCGAACTCGTGACCTTTCGGTTTGCGATTTTCTCGTCTCATCAAAAATTATAG